GCATTTTTCCTCACCGTTGGCATTTTAAAGAGGTTACACCTCCACCCCCCAAAATCCCCCAGCCACCAATTCGGGCTGGGGAATTCTGGGAGTTGAAGTCTACACATCTTCAAGCTGCCAAGGTTGAGAAACACTGCTCTGCAGACACTCATCTCTACAAATACACTATATAGCTGAGGTCTGTTTGAATTCCAGTGCATTTTGCTTTCACATAAGGAGTTTCTCACACAAGTAAATTCCTCTCTCCCAGCACTCTGGGAAGAAGGTACAGTGATGATGAAAGACATAGTTCCCAAGACTAAATATAATGATTCCTCCAGCTTACAAAGGAATGCCTTCAGTGAGAAAGAATGTTTCAGGAAGCCACTAATCTCCTTAAATGTTCAACTCAGTAAATCACCAAGAAGGGAAGAAACCAACTAGGTTACTCATCCTCTGAGTCCTGCCACAGCAGATGACCCAGCCATCTTTCCTAACCCTTCGACGGTTGGTATCCCAACTCCCATTTCAGCCAGACTCTGTTTCGTATGCCAAATAAGCAAACCTGAACTTTTGGGAATAAGATGGGTTTCCTTATTTGGCATACTAAGAAGAGGGAAAACTGAGACCAAGTTTAAGAGAAGCAAACCTCATTCAACTCTGCCTAAAGACATTTTTGCACAGGAAGGAGGTTCCCTGGTGTCAGCCATGCTAAGCAAAATGGTACGCGGGCTTGATTTCAAAGCTGAGGCTAGTAAAGCATAAAATATAGGAAGAACCAGTGCATCCATCTGCTTTTCGTCTTGTTTCCTCCCTTCCACTTTTCCTTTGCTTTATCTTTATCAGCTTTATTTTTAATTGAAATCATCATACCTGTACTATTGTTATTAGAATCAACACAGTAGAGCAATCCCTGCAGGTAACAAAGCAGTACGTCGGAGGAAAAGGCTACCTAGGCAGGATGCCGCATTTAGGACGTTTATTTCTTTCGAGAATGTGCCTATTTATCCTTATATCTGCAAAACGGAAAAGAAGCTGCCCCCGTCCCTTCGCGCAGAGGGGCGGATCTGCCCCCGCATTTCCTAAGCGCGCGCTGGCCGCGGGAGGGAGGCGCAAAGCGCTCCCGGGCGCGCGGGCTCCCTCTGGCCCCAGCGCCGCCTGACCGCCCGCGCG